CGTGCAAGGTCCAACGAGGTTTCAGTGGCGTGTTTAACTGAGCAAGAGCGCAGCGTCAGCCATTAAGTAATAGCTTGTGGTCACTGGGCAGGTCAAGGGGAGTTTCTTCTTCTGCTTCCCCATGATGCTGGTAAAGTTTTACTCCTGCCGCCTTGAGTCAGTGCTGGTGTTTTTCTTAGTTGGCTTGGAGCTTTTTAGTCTTATTAACTGGCAGAATAACATCAACTGCAAAACCAAACTCTTTTTCTTCTTGTTTTCATCTGTTAAATTAGCTGTGTATGATGAGTTGGACTGTGTGTATGTCAGAGTATTCAAAGATTGTCTGTGTAAAGAAACAAACCTTTTTATTTTAGCCAGTAAAATGATAGATGATAGATACAGATGAAATTTTGTGACTAGAGAACTTTTGTAACTTCTCTAGCCCTAGAGAAGAAATGAAAATTAAGAGAACCTTTCAAAAACTTTCTTCCAGAGTATGCACGTTTTGGTGGTGCTTTAAGCTGGGAATAGACTTCACATCATTAACGCTGAATTTTAAAATATGATTATTGTTTGCTCCATTAATTTTAACCAATGCTGAGATAAAAATGATTAATTGGGAGACTTAACATAATTAGTGCAGTGTGGCATCTGACTACTTATACTCAAGTCTGTTAATGTGGGGAGCATAACTCTTGTTATGAAATGTTCTGCCTTGTGTCAGAATCTAAAATATTAGAACCATTTTACAGTTTAAATTGATACTGCAAATCTTAATGCTGTGAAAACATTCACGGTCTACTACTAATGAAGATGTACAATAGAGGAAATCTGAAATTATGTCAAAATTTCAGATTTTTTTTTTTAAATGTTCTTTTGATTTATGTTGCTGGGAAAAATGATTTTTTTTATGTCATCCTGATGTATGGCACTGGGAAAACGAAGAGGAAATTTATTGCTGAGAACTGTTATGTTCAATCTTGCTGAAAGATCTTTTTGCTTGTATGTTTAGTAGCCTGTCACGGTTAAAAGAAGTATGAGTAGTGTCAGTGTGCAGAAGGGATATTTTAGTTTTCAGAAGCCTCTGGGGACTGCAAGCATAATATACTTTTAAAGTACAAGGGATCAAAAGAAATGGCATTTTAAGCTAAATTTGCTTATAAAGTCATAACCAATACCTGAAAAGGCACTAGTGTGGAAAGGGTGACTTGACTTACATTAGGTTGAGAGTCAGTTCCTGAAATACTCCTTTTTGTCTGCCAATACTGCTTCTGTGGTCAAGTGTCTGATCTTACCATCTAATACAGCAGCTGATTTGCAGCATATTTTATTAAGACATTAATTGTAAAGTCTAGGACTAGTACTGGGAAAGGTCGTGGATTTCAAGGGGAGTGTGGGAGTAATACTCATGGGCTGTAGATGGAATAGATGACATGTTACGGCAGGATCGGTTCTAGCCACAGTAGGAGTTCCAGTAAATTTAATCTTTGGTGGAAGACTGTAAAATCATTTCCATGTAGTAGAAAACCTCCTGTGTTTTTCCATGAAGACTGTATCTTTGTCATTTCTTTGCTGCTGGGTTATAACGTGTTTCAGAAACAAGGCTTTCTCTATCTCCTTGAACAGCGAGAATGCAAATCTGCTCTGATCACCACTTGAACAGCTGTTTGTAGGGCTGACATTGCTTAAGTCAGCATAGTGTTTACATCTCCTTAAAGGCGAAATGTATAGGTGATTGACCACTTCGTAATGGTCATAATGCTGCCCTTTCATAGCAGTGAGGAAAGAGAAAATTTGTAATAAACTATTGAAAATGCCAGATGCCAACTACACCCTTGGGAAGAAGGAGAACAAAGGATGACTTAAGCTCAGACATAAGACATTAGCTAGTTGTTGCTCAGGTCAGACCAGTCTTTACATACTGGCAAGCCCCAAATTATCCCCAGCCCAAGTCTTTACATTTAAGTCTATTAAGGGCTGCCATAAATGTTTTGGTTTGTGTTTACAGAGTCCTGGGCAGGAGGGCGGGTTGTCTGGTGGCGTTCTTTTTTTTTTTTTTTTTTTTTTTTCCCCCCCTCTGTCAAGAAAGGAGCATTGTTCAAAATTGGGCTTACTCTTTTCAGTGTAGTTTGTCGCAAATTAGCAATTATGGTTTCTTCTGGCTTTGCAGCTGATTATGTTAACCTTCAAATTAATTATCTTCTGGCTCATGACTGCACACACAACACTTTGTAAAATGGAATTACAGTAGAACCCTGCCAGTTCTTGTCGCTCCACTTTGTAACCCTTGTAGTAACATTCATAAGGCTTAATAGTGAGGTGATGACATGAACATTCAAACTGCAGCTTCCAGCTGGGTTAGTTGTAGGCGTAGCTGATGGAGATGATTTAATTTTAAGGTGTACTTATTTTTGTGAAACACACATAAAAAGTAATTGTAAATTAAGACTAAGTAAATGGCCAAGTTGTGCTTTATTAGATTATGTTCTTTTCCTGTTTTACTGCTGGTGTATACTGAGTTTTGTTCTTTCAGTGCTCTATTAACTAATATGTGTTAGCAAGGCTGTGTTATTAAAAACAAAGTCATAGACATATTGCAATAGCTGATTACTATTAGTTGAGTTCCTGTAAGTCCTTTAGTGAATTGCTGCTTAAAAGTGAGATGGTAAGAGTAGTTGATTTAAATTCTTTGCAATATATATTAGACTCCTAAATTCTAATTTCATGTTTTGACACAGGCTTCCTCTATGGAATATTGCTTAGCAGGGCTGCCTTGGTTTCCCTGCTCTTGCTTGGTGTCCTTTGGGGATTGTTTTAAAATTGCTTTGAGATAGCTTTTAGTAGCAGTTAACTCTACTAATTTCCAAAGTGACCATTTTCCATTGGTGACTGTGCAGCTTCTCACAGGGGATGCTGCAGGACTGCAAGTATTCTGCTGTAGTGAAACTTGATTTTTCATTAAGATGAGACCTCAGCCATGTTTCTTCAGGCAAGTTAAATCCTTCCTTTCATATCTTCCACCCATTACTCCTCATGAAGTAAAACTACAACAGGTTCTACTCTGAAGAAAGGCTGACTATTAAGGTGGGGGGGGGAAGGTTAGTTCTGTTTTGCTGTTGGAATGGTGTTTTTTGGTGTAGAGCATAGCAGAATATATTGATTTTACAAATCATTTTACTCCACCTTTAGCTTTTTCATTTTCTTTTTTTTTCCTCTTGAATAGAGAAAAGTTTCAGTTAAGCCAAAATCTTCCCTTTTCTCTGTGTAAGTCTTTCCTGGAAAACACTTATAAATGTAGACATACAAAACTTGAAAACCAATTAAATATATAAGAAAAAATATCAGAGTAATATAGCTCTTAACTTATTGCTGCCTGAGGTTGCGTGTGGTAGAAGAGTGCCAGCAATGTTAAAAAGCAAGTTGTTTTTAGGCGATGAAGGTATCTGTTGAGAGTTACCCTGGAATGAGTGCTTGTGTTCATTGTGTGAGAGTTCTTTTTGTCTTCCCACAAATAAGCTCTCAGGTAAGGAAATGGAAAGTAGTTGGTTTTACAAAACCAGTTCAGTAGTTCTATCATGAGAAAAATGGAAGATGATTTTTGTGTAGCAAGATTACTGCTGTGTGTATATGAATGTCAGCAGTAAGAAAATGCTGCTTTTGAGGGAAGTGTGCCTCGTGGTGGCTATCACAGTAGCTCACTCTACACTCCTACTGAATCCATAGACTAAGCTATTGACACCTGGGTTTGGGTAGGATCCATGAGTAGTAATCAGTGGTAAACACAAAGGAGCTGCTGCTCATTTCCAGGCTCAGTGCTCTGCCAGGCGATATGGGGAGGAAGATTAAAACAATTGAAGGAACTTTTTTTTTTTTTTTCTTTTTTCAGCCCCTGGGGAAAAAAAGAACAGTCCAATGCACTTGATCAGATCGCCTGTTCCTGGCATTTTAACACTTTTCAGAGAACAAGGAAACCACAGAGTGGTTCAGGTTGGAAGGGACCTCTGGAGGTCATTTGGTCCAACCCCTGCTCAAGTGGGGCCACCTACAGCCAGTTGCCCTGGACCATGTCCAGACAACTCTTGAGTATCTCCAAGGATGGAGACTCTGCAGCCTCCCTGGGTAACCTGTGCCAGTGCTTGGTCACCCTCAGAGGGACAAAGTGTTTCCTGATGTTCAGAGGGAACCTCCTGTGTTTCAATTTGTGCCTGTTGCCTCTGGTCCTGTGACTGGGCAGCACTGAAAAGAGCCTGGCTCCATCTTCTTTGCATCGTCCCTTTAGGTACTTGTGCCCATCGATAAGATCCCTCTCCAGGCTGAACAGTCCCACTGACCATCTTTTTTTTGGCTTCACAAGGAGCTGGAAGCCCACACAAGTCTTCCAAGCCAGTTCTGGCAGCATGTGTGCTCTGACTCGCTTAGGTTAAGGAATGGAAATGGCTGGCTCCTGGCTGTAAGCATCACACAGCAGCTGACATTTTGCTTGAGAGAGCACGTGTAAGGACTAAAATCTGTGCAGGAGAATGGCTTGATGTGTGTGTCCTTAAATATTTGGCATGGAGATCTGTTTTTCAGGTTTTGAGGATGCTGACTGTATACCAGCTTTCAAAAAGCAGATGAATTCCAACAATATTAAATCTTGAATTTTTAATAAAACATTCTTGTCGACTTCTGATATCCTACATATTTCAGGGCTCCATGATATCCTGAACAGTAAGGGAGTTTTAAATAGAAAATTTGTAAAATCTCCATCCTGTAAGTAGGGAATGCCAAACAGTTACAGAATTCTAAACAATATTTTTAGAATTACTTACTTTCATAGTTTCTTAAGTAATAAGTCAGAAATAGGGTACTTCAAGCCCCATTTCTAGTAAGTCATTCAAATAAGATGCTTTTCGTACAGCACTTGGTAAATACCAGTAAAAATTCTTACCCAAGAGCGTAACAGTGATGTGTTACAGGAGCCGCGTCCTCTGAGGCTGTTTGTTCAACTCCTCTTGTTTATTATTAGCTGGAATGCAGGGCTGTAGGCCGTGGTGGAGAACACTAGCATGGTGCCTGCATGACACTTCTTATTAACAAATGGTATCTTTGTTTGAATATCCGCAGCTCGTGTAACTGTAGAAGGGCCACGTCCTGAAAAAGAAGGGGCACGTGCCAAGTGGCTCGGTTATGTGGAGCAAACGCTGCAAGTGGAGGAGGAGAACTCTCCCCCGTTCATTTTTGACAAACTGATTTAGAATATGGTCTAGAAATAAACAGATTTACTTCATGAAGACTAAAACAGAGCTTTACAAGGACCGGGCAGAAAATCGCAATCTAAAGACTGGTAAAACGGCATTTTATTTTATGTACTGGTCTGTAATTGTTTATATCATGCACTGTTTTACTCCTTTCATTTTGGATTAGTGATAACTCTGAGTTTTAAATAATTAATAGTGTTAAGGTAGATAATTATGTTTAACGGTGGAAGAAATGTAGCTTGGTTAACGTCTGAAAATACTGTTTTTCCTGAGGAAGTATTGCTACATAGAAGGGATTGCTTTTCTAACAGTGACTATTTTGCTTTTATGTTAAAAGGTCTCTCTGCATGAAGAGAAAAATAAAATAAAATAAATGATCTTTTCTGGTCAGAGCAGGTTTAATATCTATGTGCAGGTATTTACAAAGGTTTTTCCTTTTGAACATTGGCTACTCACAACAAAATTCTATTAAGTGTACATCATGACTTTTATTTTATTGTTTGTGGGAATGGACTGGAAGGAAAATAAACAGTCTGGGCATTAAAGAGACTTTCTGATATGACCAGAGATTTACAAAATGTTTTGTTTATTGCTCTGATATGTGCTTTGAACGTGTAGATGCGTAGCAGCTGGTGGTAGTGCCTGCAGACAGGAATTTGTGCCAGTGCAGCTCTTTGTGCAGTGGAATGTGTAATGTGCAAACAAGCAAGAATTTGAGTGAAGTAATGGAAAACAAATTAGCATGTTCCAAGTCTTTGGGGGTTTTTGGAGTGCTCTGCAGTTGAGGAGGCAGTGATGGTGGGTCAAAGAACAAAAAAAGGGAGAAATCTCCTTTTCAGGATTTGGGATAAGATTACACAGGATGCTGTTAGTATACTGACCGCATCGGAAAGAGCCATTACTTCAATTTATGGCACATCTGTAAGAAGCAACTTGTTATCCTGCTGATAACGCATAAGCCCTGTAATGTACCTCGTACCTAGACACTCCTTCCATACGTGTGAAGAACATGCTGAGGCTCTCGGTGACACTCATTTTGTGCTGCCCGATGAGGAAGCTGGCGCTCGGCTGTTGTTACTTTTTCCACGTGAGGTGTTGTATCTAACTAGGCATTTTTAGGCTGGTTTCAGGGAGAAGTCTGACTAGTGGGTTTGAGTCACCCCAAAGATCATTCTCATAAGTTGTATGACTGCTTTTGCGTGGGCTAGAGATGCATCCTCAGTGGACTGGAGGCCCCATCCCTGGGATGGAGGCCCCATCCCTGGGAACATTCAAGGCCAGGTTGGACGGGGCTCTGAGCAACCTGATCTAGTTAGTAGTGTCCCTGCTCACTGCAGGGGGGTTGGACTAGATGACCACTAGTGGTCCCTTCCAACCCTAAACATTCTATGATTCTATGATTCTATGACTGCAGATGAAAATCACTTTTTAAAATGCTGTGCCTTACTGTTTTACAGTCCTGTAGCTGAACAGGATTAGAAGCCGTGCAGGATTAGGCAGCGTGCAGACTACAAGTATTTGGTAAACCTTGAAGAGCAGAAGCTTTTCTTCTTGTGGGAAAGACCAGCATTTTACTGTCTCCTGGGAGTTCCTCGCTCAGCAGCAGCTCAGTTCCATCAGTCTGTGTGATGAAAACCAGGTGTAACTCTGGGCTGTTCGTGTAGCAGTCACCGCTGGCCAGGAGCAGCTGAGCTGCTGCCAGGCTGTCGCAGGCTGTTCGTGCTGCTCCTTGGCCCCTGGAAACACGGGGGATTGTACTGCCTGTTCCCACCCATTGATCCTGAAAAACTGAGTTACTGCTGGGGCTGCAGGAAAGATCCTCAATGTTTAGCCTGGCAATTTAAATCAATACAAAAATACATTATTACCAACTTCTTCCTTTTTCCTGCCTTCCCCCCTCGTCCCCTTTAAAAAATGTATTTTAGGTGGGTGGTAGGGGGACCTTGGATCAAAGGTTCTCTGGTGTCTGTAGATGCCTACATCTACAGCTGCTGTTTCTCCCTGTGCAACAGAAGGGAGAAGATGGCCCTAAGGCAAAATTATTTCTTTTTGGGTTGGATCTGATCTGTCAAACTATAACTCTGTATCAGTACCTGGTTTCTTGCAAAAATTTCTGTCCTTGAGAAAATTTTACTAATAGTCAGAATTTCATTTTTGCATCTATTTGTAGGGCACATCCTTATTTTCTCTTCAATAGTGTTTATTTTTACTTGGATCTGTTGTTTTGTGGTTAAATACATCACTTACAGCAGTTGGTCCATTCCAGTTAGTCTTGCATTCATTATAGGCCAGAACATTATGCATTTTTTCTTTGCATTATATCTATTAATATTATTAGTTCCTTCTTGCTTAAAGTTACTGCACTTGCCTTTCTTCCTTAGGATTGGAAGAATCGTGAATTCTGGAAAAGTAAACTGTTCTTCCCCAATATTCCTTGCAAGCTGCAAGGTATTTAGAATTGCAGCTGTTTAGTAGGAACTGGGAGTTTCTAGCTAGTTTTTAAGTTTGTGTAAGAAGCCTATTTGTTGCCAGTTTTGGGAATTTATTTTAATTTAGCGTGATGTTTTTCAGTTTTTTATATCAATTGACTGAACTCGAAATTCTAAAAAAGCTCCAGCTTTAAAAATGTGGGGTTTTATTTTAAATGTGATTATGATGCACACAGACTACCTAATAGTGGATAGCAGGATAAACCCCAGAATTCATCTGTAAATTTGTTGCTACTAAATAGTGCTGGCATCTCTAGATCACTTATTTCCTCTCTCAGAAGAGTAAGTACTAGAGACTAATTAGGATTGTGTACTTGTGTTCGACTAGTGTAATCTTTTGCCTGTGCCACTTATATTACTTACATACCACCACCCCTCTCAGTTCCTGAAGAAATTGTGTCTTCTTCAGTTCTTCGATAATTGGTGAGATAAGGAGAGACTCTTATCAGAGTGACGGAGGAAGAAGGCCATGCTGGGCGATGCTTTCCTCTCACTTTGTAGGGCTGATAGCGGTCCACAGGTGTCTGACTCTTCAGCAGTCTAAAATCACTGAGTTGCAAAATGAGACCAGTTCTAGCCCCATCCTTAAATATCCTTTTGAAAGTTTAAATCCAGCAGTTTACCGGTCATCTCAGCAGCACTGACAAGTAAAATCTGATTTCCGAGTGTAGCAGAAAAGCATTAATCTGGCTGTTAGGTCAGCCCTTTTTCATGTCATCGTAGATTGGAATTTTTGATTTTCTGGCTGTAACGATGCTTCAGTTCCTGTGCATGCTGATTTTCAAAACTTATGCATTTGTAATGTTTGTAAATACAAAAAATGGGTCAGTGTAACAGAGTGATGAGGGGAAAATACTGTCTAATGAGGAGTGTTATGTGTGTCAGGCCAACTGTTCAGAAAATTTAGTTCCTGACCTTTCTTTTTATGATTTACCTTTTTCAAAAGCTAGATGTGTGGCGTTGCTGCTTGGCAGGGTTTTAAGCACACTCATTGTACCTTGTAAGCCTGACCAGTTTTTTGGAGGACTTAAATGTGCTGTTTAGCACGCTATCATTGGCAGATCTTATCACCGTTGATCATACTTTTTTTCCCCCCTAGATTGTTGGTAATGTATTTCCTCAGTTTTTAGTCAAAATCAGTCTTCTGTACCAGTTAATTGACTATATGTTAGTGTCAGCCTCATCTGAGATTGCATTGTTTCCTGGATAATGTGGTGTTGATCATCTGTAACGCTAACTTCTAATTAGAAAGTTTAATCATACTTGTTTCCCATCTTTAGCTGCTTTCAGTGAGATAAGACTTACTGAATTAAATTGATAAGACTTCAGAGTACCAGTCATTTGTCTTTAATTTCGTAGTGATGTAGTAATGTATTTTTGCGCCTAGGAAGATATTTCAAGAAGGATTTTTCTTGTTCCCATATTTAGCTTTATCTGGAATCATTGTGTAATTTCTAACTTGGAGATATTTAAATAATTCCTCTTATAAGAAAAAATCATATTTTATGCTTATCTCCCAAAATATAACCCCTTGTTCCTGTCACAAGCTGTTTTCTGAGTTTTCAGTATGGGTGGATTAACATAACATTAAACTATCTCAGTGCAGCTAGAAGGTTAAGATGATTCTGGCAGAAAGGGAAGAGGATTACTTTAAAGGCAATGAATATGATAATTTCCACACTAAATGTAATTGAATTGTCAGGAGGCACAGAACATGCTAGACTTTGATTCATATGTTACTTATGCAGAGGAAGGCAGGTGAGCCATGGCCACGTTTTCAGCAAAAATCAGGACTTGGTTTCTGGTGCAAATACAGTTTTGTGTTCTTTTAAATATAGGTTTAAACTTTGTTTCAACTTCTGACACTTATTCCATCTATGTTGTTGAAGAGCTCTGCGTGCCCTTTTGAGTATTTTTTTTAAATACAAGTAGTAATCTACCTTTTAATTCTGTTCATAAAAAATGTATCAACTACTTACTACTTGAATGTATTGACTACTATGTATTACAATATTGACTACTTATTATTCAGCCATGCTCTTTCTCAAATCAAATCCAATCTCTCGTTTACTGGGAAAACAGTGATAGGAATTTTTCTCTGTTTCTTGAAGCCCAGCAGCAGTCATACTTTGAACAAGTAAGCTTTTCCCCCAGATCTGTCCTTCGGAGCAGTGAAGATTAGGATCGCTCAGTACTTGAATTCTCTGGAGGAATGTCAGCTTTCTGAGCAAGCATGAAGTTTACTTTTTAAAAACCTGTAATTGGCCTTCTGTAAAGACTTACTGTAAGCACAGATCTCTGTGTCTTACAAAACAAAATGTGATTTAATTTTGCTTATGGTTCTTTTAGCTTCTCGCTTTGAAAGCAGTGCTAAGCTTAACGTACTACTTTATGCCCGTGTAGATTTGGTAGCTTTAGTGGACTTTGCCAGTTTAGTAGGCATAGTATGCCAACTAGTAAAGGATAACAACTGGATTGTTACGGTTGTTGGGGAATATATAGTGCTTGCATGCACTCAGGGGCACATAGAGTTCAGTCTGTGCCCTTGGGTGGTGGCAGTGCTGGGGAGGGGTTCTGGAAGGGCGCTGCAGTTGGCGTGTAAGAGTTGTGTCTTGGTCAGCGATCACACCGGGAGCTGGGGTGAGAGAGTCCCGCAATCGCTATAGAACTGTGTCAGAGAAAAACAAACTTGAAACCAAACTGCTTTGTGTCTTGCAGTCCTCTTTAAGCTCAGGAATAAAGGTGGATCCCTCACCTGAAGGAGCAGGAGGAACAGCGCACTGCCTGGACAACACCAAAGGCTGAGCAATGTGAAATGGCTCTACTTGTTTCTCACCTTGCAGGGAGGAAATTATTTATCAGTGTTTTGGCACAGAGATGCATAGCTTCCAAATATAGCAGATGTAATTCTTAATTATTATTTTTTTCCTCCCTCAAATACTTATGTGACTACATGTGCGCTGGTTCTGGTGTACACTGGAAAAAATGACAAAGCTCAATGTCCTCGCTATTAAATGGGAGTAATATGATTGGCAAGTGATGGTGACAAGCAGAAGGGAGCCAGAATGAGGATAACAAAGTGTAACTTCTGGACATCATAAGTAAAAGCTTTAAAGAAGCAGTCAGACTTTCTGTCGGGGGAAGTTTGGGACAAGCATTGCCGTTGCCTGAATGCTGGTGCTTGTGTCCCTGATGGGGCATATTCAGGTTCTCTCTGCGTTCCGCTGAAAAAACTTGAAGCAAAAACATGCAGAGACCATGCTAAATCTTTAACAGATGGCTTAGAAGGCCACCTTGGAACAACTTCTTGTCTAAATATCTGAGAAATATGTAAGTAAATTTTATTAAAGAAATGCTAGGTTTGAACAAATAAATGTGTTTATAATGTCATATGATAGAAAACTGTAATATCTGATCTGTTTTTCTATTTCATGCCCCAGATGGTTGATGTGTACAATTCTTGAGGTTCGTTATGTTGCCATGAACTAAACAGTGAAGAAAAAACACATGCCTGGAGTTATTTTTGTAACAGTGTACTTGAAAACGATTTCAAACCTTTTAAAGTTTTCCTTTATCTAGAGTTCATTGCTTTTTAATAATCAAAACAAAATCCACTCTTCAATCTTTAACAAACTAACCATTGATTAAAACTGATTTGCCTCATGGGTTTGAAATCATAATCCCATTTGGGGTATTGAAGTGCATTATGTTGTTGAATATTCAAAGCAGCATCTTCCTTACTTTTCCTTTTGTGGTGCCCACTTTAAATTCCTGTCCATGTTCTAGAGATGATTTCTGTTAAGGGAACAATGCCAAGGAACCTAATTTGGTTACACGCACAGTCTGCTTCACCTTCTCTTGATCAGAACAGATTTATCTAAACATGAACTCCACCGCTGTAGTAAACTCTGCTGTATCTGCAGCGTACTGATGTCCAGTGCTTACCCACGCATCCGCTTTTTCTTGCTTGTCAACCTTCCTGTTGTCATATCCTTATGCTTATTCCAACGCTGGGTGGCCGAAGTTGCAGTTCTGATACTATAATGACGTCCTTCCCAGTTTTCTGGGAAGTAAGTCTTAGGCAATTTCTCAGATGAAGTCATGCAGTATTTCTTCAGCATTCATCAGTATTCTAATCCCTCTCTACAGATCCTGTAAATAGTTCACGCTTCTGTTTTAAACCAGTAGTGTATGTTTTGGCTTTCTTCGACTGTGTGAATGTTTGCAGAATTGGCAACTAGCAGCTTTTACTGCTTGTTCAGTCTTTCAGCTACTGGGTTGCGAGTTGTTTGTGTTTTTGTTTTTGTTTTGTTTTGTTTTTTTTTTTAACTTTAATACCTGCTCTGGTGGAAAATCAGGAACATTGTAAACTCAGCAGTTAGGACACCATCCAATAATTGTATTTTATTCTGAACAGCATTCAAGAGGTGCACCAAGGTTGTATTTCGCTTTGATACACTTATTTTGGCATTTCTCCATCCAAGTAGTCTCTCTGAAGTTGAAGTTTATTTTCCAAGTATTTAGCTGCAGTTCTTTGTTCACAAGGGAGAGAATCTGAACAGCATTATTTTAATTCTCCACAGGTGCAGATGCTGAGCAGGATGCTGCTATTAAACTTGCCCAAGAACGAGCAGAGATAGTTGCCAAGTATGACAGAGTAAGTGAACTTGATAATACTTTAAAGACATTTTATAATTAATCTTAGTAACATGTCTTGTTTAAAAAATGAATCATGGTTTCCGCTAGCTTTTGTTTAAAATGGTCCATGTAGTACCAATCTGATGGTTTCATGATACACTGGCCTCTGGGTGAGTGAAATTCCCCATCCGTAAGGGACGTTCTGGTTAATGACTCAATCAGCTCATTTTTCAGGTGCATGGCAGGTGCAGGGCTATTTTAAGGTAGTGTAATATATTAGAAGTAATGAAACTGGGATGTTTGAGGATGCTTGGTATATCTATGGGATCAGAAGGACTCTTATTTTACTTTTTATTTAGTTAGGTTTTGGTTACAGTAATGGAAACATTTAAATCATTACAGAAAACTTAAATGATGAGTGAACTGCATTGTTTGTCAGCTTGTACTGTGCTCATGACCCTGTACTCAGCACTGGTGAGGCTGCACCTCAAATACTGTGTTCAGTTTTGGGCCCCTCACTCCAAGAAAGACTTTGACGTGCTGGAGCATGTCCAGAGAAGGGCAGCTCTGCTGGTGAGGGGTCTGGAGCCCAAGGCTGGTGGGGAGTGGCCGACGGAACTGGGGTTGTTCAGCCTGGAAAAGAGGAGGCTGAGGGGAGACCTTATCGCCCTCTACAACTGCCTGACAGGAGGGGGTAGCGAGGTGGGGGTCAGTCTCTTCTCCCTGGTAATAGGCGATGGGACGAGGGGAAATGGCCTCAAGTTGTGCCAGGGGAGGTTTAGTTTGTACATCAGGAAAAATTTCTTCCCCAAAAGGGTTGTCAGGCACTGGAAGGGGCTGCCCAGGGAAGTGGT